ATATATATAGTCATAAGCCTTAGTTCTTACTGCCCCACACTTGGAATACATCAACACCACTACACATTGCCATGGTTTCAGCAAACACAAAAAATACTCTAGACACCTCCCATTAGCAACTGCTGTAATGTAAAAAGAACATTAAAATAACAAAACTTGGGAGATATCCATTGGGATTTGGGTCCTTATCCAGGTACCTAAGTCTCTGCCAAGCGGCCCGGAAAAGGCAAGAATCTGCAGACTAACAGCTAGGCTATATGTGAATCAAACCTCTGGCAGTGCTTCCTGCCATCATCTATTTGTTGCATTATATAAAAAATAAAAATAAAAATAAMATGTATACTTTCATTAGTTGTGTTGCTTCACTTTTCTCCATTTAGACTAAGCAAAGGAATCCAAGCAAAAATCCAAAACACACGAGTCTAAACACTTAGTTCATTAAATTCTTTTAAACCGAGAATATTATGACTTCCTTAAAACAAACCCAGGTTATTTTATAAATTTACTATGACCAAAGAGTGTGGATATTGCGACTCAGAATGAACTGACTCACTCCTTTCACAGCTGCAGATAAAGATGCTGTCAGTATCTAAAACTGCAAACAGACATYGGGAAAAATGTTATGAGAGCTTTTAACTCATGCAGGCAAGCACACAGGGCTGGGAAAGCTCATCAGCTTTAAAACGGGGCTTTAAAAAACACTGTGTTTCAGCATCCAAGCCACTCATTGGATGTGTACACAGCCATAAAATGTGTAAAATAACACAATGTCATAAATAATGCAAAACTCACTCATKTCTTTAATTTTTAAAATATTTTTCAACTCAGTGAAAAAATATATTTCTGTGTCCTTGAAAAATGACATTTGGGAATCTGTGCCAAATTAAGATGAAAAGATGTTGGATTAGAAAGCATGAGAACTAAATTACCTGATATCAACTGCTCCTATGGGTTTATTTACAGAGTAGTATGTTCTACGCTACACACAGACCTATCAAAACTTCATGTAYCCTACAGTAGAAAACAAATTACAATGGCCTAGAGGTGTATTATTATTTTAAAAGGTTCCCACAGAAGCTGGCAGAAGGATACAGTTACACCGACAGAGCAAGTCTGGATTTACCCTCTACTATTGCAAAACTCTGGCTTATTTCTAACTGCACAAACATCATCTTCAACAGACCAAGCACGTGAGAAACACACACACACACGACTGAACTAAGTTAAACACACTCACCAAGAACAAACCTGTGTTACCCATCATTTATCTCATATTAAAAACACATTACACAAGAAACATCTAATATACCAAGTAAWAAAACCTATTTTCCATCCAAAACTAAGTGCTAAAGACGTCAGGATCCAAGAAAGCCTACTAGAAATCAAGCTGTCTATTTTAAAGCAATGCACTGTTGTGGTATTTTTTTGCTCACAAGGGCAGCCTGCACAGTCTGCTTTCCTCATAAAGGAAACAAAATCAATAGACAAAAATTCTCAGACTTATTGATGAATAGGATCTGAGTAAGACACTTCACCTAGAAGGACTATCCAGAAAAAATTGGGTGTTTCTGGTCCCGAGGAAAAGGTTACCACGTCACTGATCACACCGAAGCATTCACAGAGACATGGTTTAGAATGACAGACAGTAGAGAAGCACTGAAAGGCATACACGTTATAGAAAAAAATGAATATTTGAAAGATTGTGTTGTTGAGCACACCGAGAAGCAGCAGGTCTAGGACTGCTCTCTTTACGACAGCCTTCCCAAAMGCTCTCGCTACACGTTTGCGATGGCAAAAGGAGCTCTATGAATATTTCAGAAGGAAAGGGCAGAGTTCACTGAAGTCCATTTGAGCTGGCCTATTATTACCACTGTGGAAGATCAGCCTTTTGAAAGCACTTCCAGGGTCAGAATATAAATTATTTCAAGTAATTAGGACGTTAAAGGCGGACATCAAGTTGATAAATTACTAAAGCAGTTGCTGATAAACACAGGATCACAGGCTTGCCTTAACAGAAAAGAACCGTAATCATAAAATCACCTGATTCATTACAAAATTCTGAATTCTCCAGATTCTTGAAAACCTGCGAAGCGAAACCATGACCAGTAAAAAAAACAAAATAAATAAATAAATCGCAGTCCAAACTGAGCCATTCAAGCCCAGGGCCTTTAACTGCCTGCTTAAAACAAACTAAGGATGTCAAAAGCCGCGGTCACGCTACCACATGGCCTTAAAAGGCCACACAACGTATATTTTACATAACTATTACGTGGAATGAAAACACCTTCTTCACGAGGTCTCTACTATACAGCTGACTAGCGTTGGAATTTACACTTTCATACGCTCACCTTTATACTGCTTATTCGCACCTACACGAGGGGAATGTTTACCGGGAAGAAGGAGGGAAAAAAAAGGCAAAAGCAAGTGCAAATACTTCATCTTTTCCCCCGTAACTCGCTGTAATGTTGTGTCCCCCCAGCTATACCTGCCGTTCGGGAGCTGCTTCACTTACACGCTGTGCAGTTACCTCTACGTTACAAACTTCTGCGCCCGCTGGCCGCACAACCCAACGCAACGTTTTTGAGCCTCGAGGAGGCTAACTGAGCAGCCTCTATATCCAGGGAACAACGCCGGGAGAAAGCGCCCAGAGCGAAGCGCGAGCGCCAAGGCCGAGCCCTGCCGGAACAAAAACCGAGCGCCTTCATTGCGCCACAAATCCCACAGCTGAAGGAATGTGCTGCAAAGGAAAGACCCCGCTGCAAAGGAAAGACCCCGGGAGGAAGGGCAGCGCTTCCCGCAGGGATTCACCCTTGGCCGAGGAAACGGGAAGAGGGGCTTCGGCGCGGCGGTGGCCGCTCGCAATGGCGAGCGCGGAGCCCGGCAGCGGCCTCGCGGCAGCACAGAACGCTTTACGTTAAACATATATGTTTATTGGAGGGGGGGAGGCAGCGGCCGCGCCGCCGGTGCCGCCCCAGGGCTGCGGGCAGGCCCGGCGGCGGGGCCGCGTGCCCGGCAGGCCCGGGCGGGCGGCTCTTACCTGCGGGCAGCGCGAGGGGCGGCGGCGGGGCCCGGCCCGGCATGGCGGCGGCGGCGGGCGGTTATCTGAGGCCTCCCGCGGCAACCGCCATGGCGGGGGAACCCATGTCACGGCGGCAGGAACCGCGTCGCCGCGGCCCGGCCCCCTCCCGCCGCCGCCCACTCGGGCCTGCGCCTCCCGGCGGCCCCCGCGACACCGCCCCCAGAGCGGCGTCACTTCCAGCTGGCGCCGGGAGCGGAGCGGGGACACGGAGGAGCGCGGGAAGGAGGGAGCGAGGCAGCGGCGAGGGCGTTGCCGCCACTGCCGGGAGAGGCCGCCCGGGAGCCCCCGCGATGCCGCGGCGGCCATCTTGAGTGCTGGTAAGTGCCCTCCGCCGCCATCTTGGCTCCGGGGAGGTGGCGCGGCCGCCATGTTGGGTGTGGGCAGCTGTTACCGCGGCGGGCGGGAGAGGGCAGCCCCGCTCTCTGTGGAGGTTAATTAAATTAAATTAATTAAATTAAATTAATCAGAGTGCGTTTTGCTGTCCTGCCTTTTACGCTTCTCTGTGAGCGTGAGGTGAACTTCCAAACATCAGCGTTTGCAAATCACTTAATCCGCGAGTGGATTACTCGGGACCTGCATGTGTGAAGCTGGGGGCAAAAAAGAAAAAGAAAAAAAAGATTATTTTTTTTTTCCTGACGCCTGTTTGCACTGTAGTGGTAAATATTGCCACAACTCCCAGCGCGTTAGGTATTGAAAGGCACATAGCATGGCTTTAAATAAAGTGTGAAGCCTGGCACGTACCCTTGACTTAGTGAGTGCTGGTAAAGCAGTTAAAACACGCTAACTGCCGTGCAGGTTTTATTRATAAAATAGTAATGAAGGTGTTATAGTGAAGCTTTGTTCCTGCAGAGACTTGAGCAAATATTTAAACACACAGTAGGTCTGCTGAGGAACAAAATGGGAACAAAATTACGCCCACAACTCACGTTTTAGATGGGTTTGGGGGGGTAAAAATGCAGTAATTATTCTGCTTTTTAATAAATAAGCCAAGTCTTTGACAAGTCTGTGGAAATTATAACTGTAGCCCAATGTCTCAATTACATTAGGGATCCCATTACAATAGCTGAAGTTAATCATAGGTGAGTGTTAATGAGGCCGTGGGACATTGCATTTTGCTGCTTTGTGTTTGCTATTTTCAGCATAATGTYAGAAATTCAGCCTAAAACTTGCACGGAGCTGCCAGGGACAGAAAAAAACAATGGGGAAACAGGTACATAATGGTCATTAGCCATRAGAGTTAATTACACTTATAACAGCGTTGTTAAACAGAATTACAGGGGCTGTTTCAACAGTCTCTTTTTCTACAACTCATGTAGGAATTATTCCGTGATTTTTTAAAAGATGTGATTGAATACACCGAATATACATGCTGCTACCTACACAACTTGGGCAGTTATCTGAACTGCAATGCCCTAAAACAAATGGAAAGTCTTCTGTGGAAAAGAGCAGCATCACAAGCACAACTGCCAAGAGAGCCAGAAAGATCAACAACGTCAGTAATTAGGCCCTCAAATAGAAGCCAATTTATTAAGTCAAATTCCCGGGTGATTTGAGCAGGCAGGTCATGTCCTAAACTACAAAGACTGCAAAAAAATAAAATAAAAAMAAATCTCTCCAAATGGTCAAATTTCCYCCAAATAGAGGAAAATTTCCTTCCCTTCTTTCTTGTTGATGTTCAAAAGCATCCCAGACCAGAAGCTTTATTCAGTATGTGGTCACGAGTCTGTAAAATTCATGTAATTTGAATGCCAGCTTGGATAAGAAGTGCATATTCCACCTGAAAAATGAAGTGATCTTCACTCTTTTAAACTTTCCGAGTGAGTGACAAGATACGTGAGATTTTTTAATCATTCCTGCGTAAGCTTTGCTAATTGAAAGCAATTGCATTTGCTTAATGAGACAGAATGACTCTTCATAATGGAAATAGCCGTATTAAGTATTTGTTCTGTGAAACAGAACAGCCCTGTTTTGAAGGAGCCACTTTCAACGCATGAAGGATTCCTTTTCGGAATGACGTGAATTCTGAACACTGTTATCTGAAGATTTCTAGCGTGTTGTTCTGTAAATCTTCAAACAAGTGTACTTTAATCACTTTTTTATAAAGTGCTTTCAAGTTATTTATTTTCTTACAGAGCAAGAGGGTGAAGAAACGGTGCAATCTTAAGATATTCATGTCAATGTAAACTCCTATCTATATAGGACAGTAGAAGTTTTAAGTTGTTTGGGGCTGGTAAATCCTAGATTCAGGGCTGACTGGATTTAGCTGCAGCCCAGCAGTTTTATCAGCCACCAGTGCAAAATCTGAACTTGTCAGGAGAGGGCGCAGCCTTCCTAAAAGAACCAAAAAAAAAAAAGAAAAAAAAAAAAAAAAAAAAAAAAAAAAAAAAAATCTTGGTGTCCTTGGTGTCTCAGGGTGATTTAGAAAGTCTCTGTCCCCAGATCCGTGCAGTCTGGTGGGTCAGAGTCTCCTGGTTTGGGGACTGAGGATGGGCAGGGAGAAGTTCTTGTGATCCACATCCATGTCTGTCATAAAATTCAGTCATTCCTAATTCTCCAGAAAATGAAATGCTTAATGGAAAACAAGTCCTATAAATAAAAATAAATATGTCTATAAATAAGAAAACATTCCCGCCTTTCCTGGTGTCCCTGCGCAGTGTGTGGGGAAGAAGCATGATATAATCAAAGACTAGATAAATGTTTAAATTTCAGGCAATTTGATTCCTTCTCTGCGAGTCTGGCAACACTGTTGATCAGAAACTGGTTATTTGCTTTCCTGAGAAATTGTAATGCTTGGTTGTTGGTGGGCTTTTTGCTTTTGGAGTTCRTTTGGCCATTTGAAGACCTGAAATCATCCACTGAATGAATTTAAATGTTCTTTGAACCTGTCAGATCATTTTGTTTCACTAATGTCAAAGCCCCTCGTTTGTGCTATTGTCAATATAATATGAACTAGTTTACATTTTATGTGGAAACCAAATATAAAAAGAAAAAAACAAATGGAAATGGGAAGTCAAGCCAACACATTTTATCTTAACAGAATGTTTGACTTTTTTGCCTCCTGAAGTGGAACTGAATTTACCTTTCTGTGAAGTTTTTATTTATTTGTTTGTTTGTTTGTTTGTTTTATTCAGTAGAGCTGCATTTATCTTGGGCCATTATGGCTAAAAAGGTCCCTACTACAGCCCCTAGCAGAAAGTGTGTGGCAGAATTCACTAATCAACATGAAAAGCTTCACATGAGAATTGCTTTTGCCTGTGATTTTATAAGGTGAGTATTGTCAAAGCTGGCTGAACAAATCCTATGTATTTTCTTCTGGCTTCTCAACAGGCAACAACAGCTTCTCCTGAACATCTGCAGCGCTCACATCTTCTGTATCACTGCTGCTCTGCATTAGCATTGACCTCTGGGCATGCAGAGTGACCAAACACTTGTAGCTTTTGTTTTGGGGAGCCCACAAAAATGCCTTGACTTTTCCCAGCCCTTTAAGGAAGGCCCTGTCTCCAGTGGCTTTAGTTGCAARGGCATAAAATGCTTAAATCTGCAACATGCAAAACATGCAATTCTTRTACTGTTTTATACAAATCTTCTTAGTTGTCTTTACAAGAGTCATAGATARGAAAGCTAGAAGATGTAACTGCATCAACGGCCCCATCTCTTGGGATTCTTAATGGTCCCTGCGTCACAAAATTGTGCTTAAACAGTTCTGGATGTGCTAGCTGCAAAGAACCTCATTTAGTTACACAGAGAGATGTTCTGCAGCTATTTTAGGTTGGTCTTAGAAACCTCTTGCATCCCAAAAGCCCTTGGGTTCATTGTCCTGGCTTATTTGTGCAAGGATAGGGTTGCTGACAGTAAATACTGGTTTTATTTGTTTGTTTTGCTCCTTTTTGAGTCCCAGCTATGCCTGCAGYTGGGTTATAGCACTCGTTCTTGCTATAGGATGTCTACTCTGAAGATTAACAAGCTCATGATGGCCAAAACAGTCCCATTTTTCTGTGGTTTTACCCCATATCGTCAAGGCAGCAGACATTAATGACCTCAGTGAGATAACACAGTAYACCAGGTTTCAACATACTTGAACATGGAACTCCTCAGCAGCACCTGCAAAGTGAATGTTAGCATGGGTACATTTGATAAGGAAGGCAAGGCTTGTGAAAAGAGGCAATAAATGGTAAAAATAAAAAATGGTAAAAAGTCACGAGCTCCCGGAGACGCTGGCACTTCCTCAGGTGTGAGGGGGAAGCAGCAAAGTTTAGCACAAGTGCAGGCTGAAAACTGTGACTTCAGCTGCAATTTAATTATGTTACTCAGCCCAGGAGGGAGAGAAAAGAGCTGACAAGTGCAGCAGCCCACGAAGCTATGACCAGTTTATTGAGAAACGGGCATCTGAATTGATGCATTGGCAACACTCAACAAGTTCTCTCGGGTCTGACATTTCCTTCTCACAAAATCTCGTCCCCTGTGAATACCTCTGCTGTCAGCAGGAAACCAGGAAGGATTTCTAGCTCTCTCCATGGCAGAGCAAGGCTTGCCAGTGTCACTGTCCTTTTTTCCTTCAATAAAAGCTCTAAATGCAGAAAGCCAATAAGGAAATAACTCAAAATTACTCATTTCAAGACACTCCCTTGCCTTTAAGAGGCCTGGCTTGTGAGTTTGGGACGTTTAAGATGAAAAGCACTAAAATGTTTGAAGACCATTGTTCCATTTTAATGTTACAGTTCCTAATTCATTTATYGCAGAGTTGATTTCCATAGCCATCCTCCTCATGCTTTTCCTGCTCTTTGTGAAGGCAGGAGCTCCCAAACTCCTCTGTGGATCGGGTAGAAGTGGAAACTCCAGGGTACAAAGTACTAGTGCTGTGTGTGATGATGACTACTGTTATTGCAGTCTCATACTGAGCTGCTCGGGGTGGTAAAACACATGCCCGTAATCTCTATTAATATCTATTTTAAGGCCTTTTCACATCTTAAGACAGATGAGCTTGCTT